AGGGGAAGTGGGATTACTGGTATCGAAAACACACAGAGATATGGGGTAAGGGTCGGGGCTAAGGGGAAATGGGATTACTGGTATCGGGCCCTAAGGGTGGTCCTTCCGCCCGTAAGATTTGTTTACAGCTTGATCCTTGAAGCTTGACCAGCGGTGCCTGCCTGTTTTGCAGCTTTTAGATAAGGCTGGTTCTGGCTTCTGGCTGACAATAGGCTTGTGGAGCTTTTAGATAAGGCTGATTCTGGCTTCTGGCTGACAATGGGCTCGTGGCATCTAGTTTCCTCAGCAGTCCAATTTCAGTAGAACGAAAGAGCCCTGTTTTCCATATTGTCCTGGACAACTTCAATTGTCAACTTGACACACCTGGGAAAAGAGGACCTCAATTGGGGAATTTCCTCTATTGCATTGGCCTATGGCCATGGCTGTGAGGCATTTTTTTGATTGTTGCTGATGTGGGAGGGCCCAGCTCACTGTGGGCGGTGTCACCCCCGGACGGGTGGTCCTGAGTTATAGAAGAAAGCAGGAAGAGCACAGGCCAGAAAAGCAAGCCAGTAAACAGCGTACCTCTGTGTCCTCTGCTTCAGCTCCTGCCTCCAGGCTCCTGTTTTGAGTTCTTGCCTTAGGCGCCCCTTGATGATGAACTATGAGCTCTAAGCCAAATAAACCCTTTCCTCCCCAAATTGCTATTGGTCATGGTGTTTATCACAGCAACAGAAACCAAACAAGCACATATGTAAAACATTCCGATAATAAAACCATGTTTTAGAAAAGAAGTAATAAGCATGTAATAGTTCATACCAAGTGACAAGGACTCCTTTCTAACAATGTGCTCTTCTCCCCCCCTCCCATCACCTGGATATTGTGAACAGGAAAGGCACCGAGGAAGCTCGCTCTTGGCACAGATTCTTCGAGACCATCTGTTTTCAAGTACAGTACAAATTTACAAACTCTGTTGGAAACTTTGAATGGTTTTTAGAAAATAACCCCTTTTAGCCTCCCTTCAACATAGAGACCACATCTCCCTGCCTGTTATAACAGACCCTAGAGTTGGTGGTAGCCAGATGGGTCTGCTCCTGAGGTGACCCACTCTCTGTGTTCTTTGATAAGCACCTGCTACTCCTAGCCACAGAAACTGCCAGTTCCCTGTATCCTGCATCTTCCCTTCGCAGAATCCACCACCTCATGGTTTATTAAGCTACTCTGCTAGCCTGTGTATCTGCAATTTCACCACCTCATTCAGAATTGCTGCAATGGGACCATAAAGCATTTTAAAAACTTTTGTATCTCCCTTAACATAGTTAACTCATTATTTCATAAATTGCTCTTTGTGAACCATGGCTACGCAAAGGAAGCTTTGAGAAAATATATAGCTGCCTGGGTCAGGTATGCTAGCCTCAAGAAAGGACTCTGAGCCAGGGCCACCAAATCAATCCATGAGGGCCACAGAGACACTGGGCTCTGAATTCCAGGGATTCTGAGGTCACACCTATGCCACTTCTATGACATTTAGTTCTTGCTGCTGTTTAATTAAATTTTTATTTTGAGGTAATTGTAGATTCATATGCATTTATAAGAAACAGAACCAACATCCCTATGTGCCTTTGACCCCCAATGGGAGCATCTTTAGAAATGTAGTGAAGTGCCACAGCCAAGATACCAACCTTGGCACAATCAAATACAAAATGTCAGCATGGGTTTCTTCTCTTTGCTGTTTTAGAGCCACATCTGCCTTCCCTTTCCCCTGGAAGCTGCTAATCTAGTCTCTATTTCTATGATTTTTGCAATTTCAAGAATGCTATAGGGGTTGGAGAGATGGCTCAGTGGTTAAGAGCACTGGTTGCTCTTGCAGAGAACCTGGGTTCGATTCCTAGCACCCACATGGTGGCTAACAACCCCCTGTAACTCCAGTTCCAGGGGAGTTGGACACACTCTTCTGACCTCTGCAGGCATTGCATGACACAGGTACACTCACATGCATGTGAGTAATACACTCATATACATAAAAATAATAAATAAAAGATTTTTTTAAAAAGAATGCTATATAGATAGAATCATGTGGTATGTAACCACATATTATGTAACCATAATTCTCAGGAGAGCCGACCATGCTGGGACTCAGCAGTTGGTTCCCATTGCTGAGTAGCATTCCGTGGAACGAATGGTTTGCACTTGAACTATTCACCCACTTAATAACAGCCGTGTGGTTTCTGGTTTGAATAAATCCGCTCTGAGTTTATTTGGTTAACTTCTTATGGGAAAATCATTTTTGTTTCTCTGGACAAATGTCTAGAAAGCAAAAGTGGGCTGGATGGTAGAGGCTGGCTGGATCCTTGGGACATCTATACCATTTCACATTCCCACCAAAAGTGCATAAGAAACCCAATCCTCATCAGCATTTGGCCATGAATTTTTATTTTGACTATGCTGGCAGATGTGTAGTAATAGCTTACTGTGTTCTAATTTGCACTTCCCTATTAGCTAATGATGTTGAACATAGGTTTATGCACTTATCTGCCTCTTTGTAGCCTCTGGAAAAATGTACACTCCTGTTTTTTGTTCTTTTTCTAACTGGTGTATGTGTGTGTGTGTGTGTGTGTGTGTGTGGTGTTGGGGATTGAACCCAGGACCTTGTACATGCCAGACAGCATTCTACTCAACTACATACCTAGTCCTTAGTAAGGCAAGCTCTCTCTGTTGAGCCCAGGCTGGCCTCAAACTCACAATCCTCCTGCCTTTACCTCTTCAGCACTCAGACTGTGTGTGTGTGTGTGTGTGTGTGTGTGTGTGTGTGTGTGTGTGTGTCACATAGACATAGAGACCCTGTCTCTAATTGGATTTTTTTTTCCCATTTGCATTACTGTTGAAATTTGGCACTTTTTCCTATACTAGGTAGTAGTCCTTTGAAGATATGTGATTTGCAAATACGTTCACCAGTCTGTAGATCTTGCCCTTTTCATCGTCTTAACAGAGTCTTTCATGAAGTGAAAGTTTTTTATTTTGGTGAAATTCAGTTCATTCATTCATCAAACGGATCATGGTGTCAATTCTAAAATCATTTGTCTAGCTCTATTGCGCTGGATAGCTTTAGTGTCAACTTGACACACCTGGGTGGAGGGAGCCTCAATTGGGGATTGTCTTTATTGGACTGGCCTGTGGCCATGTCTGAGGGGCATCTTCTTGTTGAGTGATGTGGGAGGGCCCAGCCCATTGTGGGTGGTGCCACCCCTGGGCAGGTGGGCCTGTGTTGCATAAGAAAGCAGGCTGAGCAGGGGCCAGGAGAGCAAGCCAGTAAGCAGAATTCCTCCAGCTCCTGCTTCCAGGTTCCTGCCCTGAGTTCCTACCTTGGGCTCCCTAATGAACTGTGACCTGGGAGATGTAAGACAAATAAATCCTTTCCTCCCCAAGTTGGTAGTGGTCAGAGTGTTTTGTCACAGCAATGAAGAACAAACTAGGACATCTATACTCAAAGGTTTGTTTTGGTTTCTTTCTCTTAAATGTTTATAGTTTTACCTGTGATCAATCCATTTTCCATTTTTGTAAAACGTGCAAGGTTTAGATTGAGGTGTTTGGGGTTAGCTTTTGGCCTGAGGAGGTCAATTGCTCTTTCACGGTTTGTTAAAACAGCTTTTTCCACTAGCTTACTTTCACACTGTTGTCAAACACGTTTCTTTGAACCTAGTTCCAGATTCTCTATTCTCTATTCTGTTCCACTGATCTGTATGTCTACCCCTCCATGTGATTACTGTAACTGTTATCCTGGAAATGAGGCAGACTGGTTCTTTTCACATCATCCCTCCTTTGCAAAACTATAGTAGCTACTCTAGTGCCTCTCTTTCCACATAAAAATTTAAAGAATCTTGCATATATCTTCAAAATCATCTTTCTTGAATTATTTTAGGAATTGTGCTAAATCTTGTTATGGCTTGAAATATGTCATCCACAAAGATACATATAAGTCATAATGCATGACAACTACAGATATGACCTTATTTAGGGAAAAAAAAGATCATTGCAGTTGAAATCAAGTTAACATAAGGTCATTCAAGTAAACTTTTAATGCATTATGGCTGGTTTCCTTATAAGAAGGAGAGTCATGGAGACCCAGGGAGAACAGCACATGAAGACAGAGGCAGAGACTGAGTGACGCACCTGTAAGTCAAGGAATGCACAACTGGAAGCTAAGAGCAGAGCATCAGCAGGTCCTCCCTGGAGCCTTCAGAAAGAACATGGCTGGATTTCTAGCCTCCAGAACTGTGAGACAGTAAGTTTTTCTCTTCCTTTAAGCCACCCTATTTAGGGCACTTTGTTTCAGCATCTCTAGGAACCGATAACAAAACTGTTTCTTTCAGTTCCTGAGCAGTGCATTCCTCTCCATCAATTTGGTCTTCTTTAGTTCCTTCAACCTTGTGTAGTTGGCAGTATGCAGCTCTTCTACATGTTTCGGTAGATTTGTACCAAAATTTTTTTGTCATTTGTATTTTTTTTAATTTTTATTTTATGTGTATGCATGTATTGCCTGCATGTAGGTAAATGCACCCATGTCATGCAGTGCCCGTGAAAGACAGAAGAGACTGTCAGATCCCCTGGAACTGGAGTTATGGACAGTTGTTAGCTGCCATGTGCGTGCTGGGATACAAACCCGGGTCTTCTACAAGAACAGTCAGTGTTCTTAACCGCTGAGCCATCTCTTCAGCCCCTAACATTTGTAGCAATTGTAAATAGCAATTTGTAGCAATTGTAAATAGTATTGTGTTTTTAATTTTGGTGCTCTGGTAATCATTGCTAGTATACAGAAACACAATAGGCTGTTATATTTTCTTTGTCTTGTATTCCTGACTCACTTATTAGTTCCAGGGTTCCATTCTGTTTTCCTTTGAATTTTCTATGTAGGCCCAGTTCATCTACGAATAGAAGTAGTTTTATTTCTTCTTTTGTGATCTGCACGTGTTTTCTCTCTTCATCCTGCCATACTGTGTTGGGTAGAACTTCCTATAATAAATAAAAGTTTGGTGAGCAGACATTCTTGTCTCTTTCCCAGTTTTAAAAGGATTCCAAGCATTAACTGCAATGTTAACTGTAGGGTTTTAATAGAAATAGGTATTAGTTTTCATTGTAAGTGACTGTTGGATTTTTTTCAACTGACTTCCCTGAATCTAGTTGTACCTAGTAACAAGGAGACCCAGCATTCCCTCTCCTAGAATGGTCCCCATTTTCAGTCTTTTTGCATTAACTCAAGTATTTATAGAGTGTCCTGAGCCACTGGAAATAAACAGAAAACTTAATTTCTTCCTTCAAGAGGTTCATTGTCTAGAGAGGAAGACAAACAAGGGATTATCAGTCACAACAGATGTGGTAAGGGATCGGAAGGATAAATTCAGGGGACCACAGTCATGCTGAGGTAGAAGTCTCAAGCCAGAGGAGAAGCCAAGGTTTGGGGATCAAGGGCCGGTCCATGCACTCTCCAGAGCAGGCCATGTCTAAGATGGGTTCTGTGGGAGTTGATGGGGATAAGCTCTGTGAGGGAGGGCTTTCTGGGATAGGAATGACTAAGCTTGGCTGTATTGAGAATGGCTAGGCCACAAGGTGAAAGACAAAGAAGCTAAAGTCATAAGCAAGTAGGAAGGGATGCCAGCCTGAGTCTGTGCTTTGCCCCAGGGTCTTGCAGAGGCATTGAGGGTTTTAAGTAAGTGTGGCAGAGACACAATCAGATTTACATCTTAGAAAGATGGATAGGGAAGTGAAGTTGGGGAGATGGCTCAGTCTGTAAAGTGCTTGCTGTACAATCATGAAGACTTGAGTTTAGATGCCCAGCAGGCACAGGGGTTGGGTGGGAGCAAAACAGGAGGCCCGATTACTTATTAGCTAACCAGTCTAGCTGAATTAGTGAGCTCCAGGATCAGTGAGGGACCCTGTCTCAAAAATAAGGTAGAGAGGGGCTAGAGAGATGATGGCTCAGTGGTTAAGAGGCTCTTGCAGAGGACCCTGGTTTGGTTCCCAGCACCTATATGGCAGCTAACAACCATCCATAACTTCAATTCCAAGGGATCCAATGCCTTCTTCTGGTCTCTGTAGACAATGCATATATGTGGTATACTTACAGACATGCAGGCAAAACACTCATACACATAAAATTAAAATTAATTAAAAAATAAGGTAGAGAGAGATTGAGAAAGATGCCTGTGTTGAGCTCTGTCATATGCATGTGTACACATGTGTACCTGCAAACATATGTACATACATTCACAAACATGTACACATACCAGATAAAATATATTTTTTAAATATGTATCTACTTTTGTTTTATGTGTATGAGTGTTTTGCAAGTATGTAAATGTACAACATACAGTGCCCATGGAGGCCAGAAGAGGGTGTAGGATCCCCTAAAACTGGAATTACAGATGTTTGTTAGCTGTCATGTGGGTGCTGGGAACAGAACTTGGGTCTTCTAGAAGAACAACAAGTGCTTTTAACCACTGAGCCATCTCTCCAGCCCCATATAATACTTTTTGAAAAAGAAGGATGGGTATGGTAGTAATTTAGAGAATGAGTGGCAGAGGGCAAAAGTAGAGGTAGCGAGACCAGTTACAAGAGTGTGCTGTCACAATTCAGGTGAGGGAAAAAGAACTGCTTAAGCCAGACAGTGGCAATGGGAATCCAAGGAAAGGCTGTCAGAGGCATCAGAAAGTGGCATTGTCATGACTAAAAGCTGTGTAGTGACTGGGGGAAGTGTGGGACAGTCAGGTAGATGCTGATGTCTAGCTGGAGGAAGGACACTGGGGTCTAGAGCGCATGGAAGAGATTATGATATGGGAAGCTGGTGTGGTGGTTGGATCCATGAGAAAGAATGAGATCAGCCACCCACCCCCATAAAAATGGGTTGACTGAATGAGGAAGAAAACTGAGACACAACAGGCATTTATGTGTAAGAGGAGGAACCTCAAAAGATCCAATGAGGTTCAGAGAAATGGGGAAGAAACTGATCAGAAAGCAATGTCCCTGACCAGAAGAGAAGGACAGTGTCATGAAATGCTGTCTCAGGAGGTATTTCTCAAATACTCATCTATAACACTGTGGTTTCACACTATTTCTAGTCGCTCAGAGGGCAGCTCTGATGGAAATTCTTTTTATCTTAAATAATATTTTATTGGTTCTTTGAGAATGTCATACAATGTATTTTGATCATATTAAGAACTCCTCCCCCATCTTCTCACAGACCAACCTCCACCTCCCGACCCTTTCCCTTCATGTCCTCTATTATTTTTTGTTGCATTTTTATTTTTATTTTTTAATATTTTTTGAGAATTTCATACATGAGTATTGTATTTGTATTATTTTCATCCCTCCCAGTCCCCTTCCAACTCCTCCCATGCCCCCTCCTCTCCCCAAATTTCTTCTTCTCTTTATTATTTTTACATATACACACATACATTATAAATATACATGTATAAAGCACTGAGTCCATTTAGTGGTGCTCATGTATACCTGTGTTTAGGGCTACCCAGCTGGGATTAGATAGCTTTTCAGAGAGCTAGTCCCTGGAGAAAACTGATTTTCCCTCCTTCTGTGTTCATAAATTGCCTGTAGTTCTTCATCTAGAGGTGGGACCCTGTGAAATTTCCCTCTAGATGAGGGAAATTGGCATGTCAACCAGTTATATCATTATGCAGATCTTGTTGGATTACCATACTATGGAGATTTCATGGGTGTACCTTCCCTATTGTGTCTATAATGTATTAACTTGCAGCAGGTATCTTGTCCTCTAAATCTTACAGTCTTTCTGCCCCCTCTTCTGTAATGTTCCCTGAACCTTAGGCTTAGAAGTTACATTGTGGATATACCACTTAGGACTGGGTGCCTCACAACCACTTATTCTCTGCATTTTGGCCAGTTGTGAAACTTTGTAATAGTCTTCATCTGTTGCAAATTTAGCATGAATTAAGTACATTATTAATCTGTCTCTTAGCCCATCATTTAGTCATTTTCCTTCCTGTACCACCTGCATTATTCCAGCTCCCTCCGAGAAGCACAGTGTGGGGCCACCTTTGTTTCTCCCCAGTGGTTCTTTCCATTCTTCATTTACATGATTTCACTCCTCCATAGATTTAGAGTTCCTCCTTCCCTTACTTGCACTCCTTGATTCACAGTCCTGTCAAAATATTAGTTACCCAGATCACACCAACAACCACCTTCCTCTCTCTTCATTTCTGGATATATTAAATTCCAATCATTTTCAATTTATCTTTCATAACAGATTTTTTCCAGCAACATCATTTCCCTCTCTCTCTCTCTCTCTCTCTCTCTCTCTCTCTCCATGTGCACATTTGTGGTAATGAGAGTCATTTTCTCCTTCCACCATTTGGGTCCTGGGGATCAAACTCAGAACATTAGGCTTGGCAGCAAGCACCTTTACCTGCTGAGTCATCTCACAGATCCAACATCATTATTCTTTAAGGTTGTATATTACTACCCATCCACCTAACCCATATTTCCTCACTTGATTAGAAGCTATTATAAAAAAGTAACTTCTCTTAAAGAGACAGATAATTGCCTTACTAAAAGACATTCAGAAGATTGTGATCAAAGCTTTTTTTTTTTGAAGTACTAGAGTATACATTTTGAAATCACGATGATCCAGTTTGACACTGACAAAGCAGATGTGACCAGGTAGGTGGTCATGTTTTTTAGAAAAAGCAGGCTACTTCACAGATTCAGCCTAGCAATAGGCACCATTGACCTGGTGCTTGTGTGGTCTCACATGTATGAGTCCTGCCTGGGACTGAATCTAATTATCTTTTTGCATACTTGTGGAATCCATTGGTTTGAAAAAGAAATCTGTGACAATTGAGTCCAAAACAATTTAGAAACTAAAGCAAACCTATTGACAGAAAATAGCTCAGGAATAATTTTCTTTTTCTTTTTTCTCTTACAGCCAGTCTGAGAGTATGGGCTCAGAAGACAGTTTGGAATTCTTTTTAGAGGATGAACTACTAGACTTTGATCTGGTAACCAGACTGTGTTTCTTGATTTCAAAATTGTATTTGGCGGAAAGAGTTTGGATACTCATTTTTTTTTTCTTTTGAAGTTTTCTTTTCCAAAACTCCACAAAATTTCCAGAAGGAAATAAGATTTTGATACTGTTCTCAAATTGTATCTACCTTTGCCATCAGGCATTCTATGAAAAATAAGCATATATAAGAAAGTAATACCCAGCCCTTTTGAGGCTGAGATATAAAGACCACAGACCTGAGGTCACGAAACTAGTATGGTGGATCAGGCCTGTTATCCCAGCACTCAGGAGGTAGAAGCAGGAGGATTAGAAGGTCCAGTCATCCTCAGATACATAGGAAGTGGAAGGCCAACCTGAGCCACATAAGACCTCCCCTGCAAAAAAAGCCCCAAACCAAAAAAAATATGCCTTGTGAGGCCTGAGTCTGAGTCCCAGACCCCATGTTAAAAAAACCAAAAAAACAAAACAAAACAAAAAACCACCAGGCTTGGTGCTTCACATTTAGAATCCTAGCACCTGGGAAGCAGAGGCAGACAGATCCCAGAACTCACCAGTCAGCCAGTGTAGCCTACATGGTGAGTTCCAGTCTAGTGAGAGACCCTGTCTCAAGAAAATGGTGGATGGTGCCTGAGGAAATACACCTGAGGTTTTCCTCTGACCTTTACATTCACGTTCACATACACACACACACACACACACACACACACACACACACACACACATGTGCTCACATGCACATACATATTTATAACCACACAAACAAACAATGTAGCAGAAACAGGATTTCCCCCTTTAAAGACTGAGTTATAACACTGGGTATGGTGGCATGCACCTTTAATCCCAGCCGTTGGGAGGCAGAATCACATGGATCTCTGCAAGATCAAGGCCACCCTGGTTCACATTGTGACTTCCAGGTGCGTTGTGACTAGGGAGACAAAAACAAAAAACAATCAACAAAAAGACAAAAAAAAAAAAAAAAAAAAAAAGACTGGGTAATATTCCATGTGTATCTATACCATATACCATATTTCCTTTATTTACTCTTCTGTGGATGTTTTCATTGTCATTGCTTGGCTACTGTAAGTAATAATGAACATAGTTATAGTTAATACAGACATCATCTTTGTAAAAATGCTAATTTAAAGCAATACATATTTACGCAAATTCTTTAAAATGTGGGATATATTGGCCAGGCAGGGTGGTGCATGCCTTTTAATCCCAGCACTCGGGAGGCAGAGGCAGGCAGATCTCTGTAAGTTCAAGGCCAGCCTGGTCTACATAGTGAGTTCCAGGTCAGCTGGGGCTAGAGGGAGACCCTGTCTCCAAAAAAGCAATAAAATTGGAACATATAAAATTACTGTTGAGAGAAAATGAACCTCCCTCAGCTTCTCATCCCCTCTCTCCTCCGTCTTTCTTTCCCTTTTCCCCCGTTCTTCTGTCCCCTTTCCTTTTTCCTTCCTCATTCCCTCTCTAATGTCTCACAAGCAACCCCAAACAGTCTCTTCCCAACAGCCATCTCTCACTTGGAAATAGTGAGGCTCCCTTACATTCCTCTCCACCCCCTCGTAATCACAACAGTTGCTACAGAGTGCATCTTGAGTGCTTCCAAGAATCCTATTGTTGAAGGTTTGTTCCCCAGCTGTCAGGGAACCACCGCAGACACTATGGGAAACTTTGGGGAGGTGGGGCCTGGTGGGAGGAAGGTAGGTTGTTGGGGATGAGCTCTTGAAGGGGGTTGGGACCCTGGGTGTCTTCCTTTCAGTCTTTGCCTCCTGGCCACCATGAGGTCAACTGGCCTGTACCATATGGTCCTGCCATGATATGCATACGTTCACACAGGCCTGGAGGGAAACCAAACTGCTCCTCCTCAAAAATTGATTTTGGGGGCTGGAGAGATGGCTCAGTGGTTAAGAGCACTGACTGCTCTTGCAGAGGACCCAGGCTCAATTCCCAGCAACCACATGGTGGCTACAAACCATCCTTAACTCCATTTCCAGGGGAATCCGAAGCCCTCTTCTGACCTCCGCAGCATTGCATGACACAGGTGCACTCACGTACATGCAGGCAATACACTCATACACATAAAATAAAAATGAAAATAAAAATAAATTTAAAAAATTGATTTTCGCAGGTTGGAGAGTCAATGAACACAACAGTCTTCTTTACCCTACTGTATTTTCTAGACAAGCCACATGAATGTATCTGAAAGACACTTATCCTCTTCATTGTTGATTGATTAGATACCAGAGACTTATTTCAAGGAGCCAGAAGAATTACTTCAGGTCCTCACAGAGCTAGAGGAGCAGAACCTTACTCTGGTCCAGTATTCCCAAGATGTGGATGAAAATCTTGAAGATGTGAACAAAAGGGAAAAATTTATACAGGATAAAATGTGAGTCATTTGATCTTATTAAGCAATTTCTGACCAGAGATTGTGTCCAGCTTGCTTGTGATGTCTGTCTCATGGCCTCTCTTGGATTTAGGTTGGGATGTTAATTAGTAACAGTTCACATCCTGAGTGCAAAAGATAGAATTTATATTTGTTCAGAATATTTTTATTCTTTAGTTTGATTTTTCTTCCTATTTCCTCTCAGTAGTTAAAGTGTTTCCCCACCTAGTAATAATAAGATATAATTTGGAAAACTAGAAAAGTTGAAATGATACCTACTGCCTTAATTTGATCCAGATAGATTTCACCCTATCACCCGGCTAGCTGTCACTACTTAGAGCAAATCATACTTTGGATGGTAATAAAAGCATCTTCCTTGGCTGTGAATCTTAGCAAAATGATTTTCTGGGGTTTACTACTAAATCATTTTATAATGTATATATCAATATATCAGGGCCATCAAAGAGATTTATAACAGGGAAGAGATTAGTTATCATAAGTCACAGATTCTATGTTAGGACAGTTTGGAGAAAGTTTCAGGCTATAGAGAGTAGAGCTTTATATCTATTCATTATTTTCAAACTCTGTAAAATTGTTTGGAGTTTTGGGGGGGGCAGAAGATGGCTATCTTTTTTTTTTTTTTTTTTTTTTTGAGTCTCCCTGTAACCCCAGCTAGCCTGGAACTCACTATGTAGACCAGGCTGGCCTTGAACTCACAGAGACCATCTGCCTCTGCTGGGATTAAAGGCGTGTGCCACCACACCCAGCCAGATGGATATTTTTTTAAAATAACAGGGCAAACTACACTTAACTTCAAAGCAAATTAACTTTCCCAGAAGGCAAGAGTCTAAAAACCAGTGCCTCACAGCTCTGCCCCACTCCCCAGCTGTGTCTTCTGATTCCCTGTCTCCTGCTCCATCCTTGGTGTGTAGGACCCCAACCTGTGATCCTCTGGGCAGGGTGGGTACATACAGGTGGGAGAGAGATCTGTCAGAATCTGTTTCTCAAGGCAAGGTAGTCAGGGGTCTCCATTTTCTCAGTGGCTCTACAACCAGTCTGGTGAGCAGCCGAATTTGAGAACACTCACAGGCTAGCCCACAGCACAGTTTGGGGTCCTCACATCCCCACTCTGCTGCTTTCTGTTTGGAGGACTTGAGAGGAAACAGCAGAGAAAGGGAAGAAAATGCTTTCTGATGGAAGTTAAGAGCAGCATTTGAACATTTCCATGCCTCGTAACTTGAAAACTTATGTGTAGGACTGGGAGATGACTCAGAGGTTAAAACATTTGTTGCTCAAGCATAAGGACTTGACTTCAAATCCCCTGAACCCACATAAAAGTCAGATGTAGTAGGAGGCATGTGTAACCTGATACTCCTAGGCAAGATGCGAGATAAAGACAGGAGAATCTGGAAGCTCGGGGGCTAGCTAGCCTAGTATATGCAGAGAGAGAGACAGAGAGAGAGAGAGATAGACAGACAGAGAGACAGACAGAGACAGAGAGACAGAGACAGAGAGAGAGGGAGAGAGAGAGAGACAGAGAGAGGGCTCAGTGGGTAAAGGTGCTTGCCTACTAAGTCTAATAACCTAAAACCCACATGCTGGAAGGAGAAAGCCAACTCCTACAAGTTGTACTCTGACCTCTACATGTGCCATGCATTTGTCTCCTACCCCCACAAAACAAATAATAAATGCAAAAAATAATTTTTTTAAAGAGAGAACTTCAGGGGCTGGAGAGATGGCTCAGTGGTTAAGAGCACTGGCTGCTCTTGCAGAAGACCCCAGTTCAGTTCCCAGCATCCAGTTGGTGGCTAACAACCATCCATAACTCCAGTTCTGGGGGTGTCTGACACCCTCTTCTGACCTCTGTGGGCGTTGCATGACATGGGTACACTTATGGACATGCAAGCAATACACTCATAAACATAAAAATAAAAATAATAAATAAATTTTTTTAAAAGAGAGACCTGGCCTCATATAGGGTAAAAGTGAAGAACAATACCTGAGCCGTCCTTTGACATCCGCACTAGTGCCACAGCAAGCACACGCCTGTACTCACCCACGAAGCCACAATTAGCATGACACATACACACACACACACACAAAGATTAGAAGAGTTGTACGTACTTCATTCACGTCTTCAGACCCAGACTCCTGTGGCTGCTAGATGCCGAGGGCTGACACGTGCCAGGACAAAGGGTTGAGGCTCCTGGCCGATGGCTGTTTCCCTCAGTCCTGACTGAATGCCTGGGTCTCCTTCTTTTTGCAATAGAAACAACAACATAGAGTTCCTGCTGGAGCACAAGCATATGCTGAAAGCCAACTGTGAGCGAGAAGAGGAAAAAGCAGCAGAATTGGAACTGAGGGCCAGGCTCTTTAGTTTTGGAGAATTTAATTCAGATGCTCAGGTAATCATTCTGGTCTATGCTAACTTTGCTTTGTCTCCTGGTAATAATCTGCCTTCCCTGTGTAGTACATAATTGAGTGGGGGATAGGTTTGAAGCACAAGTTGTTGATACAGGTGGAAAACCAGCTTGGATTTATCTTGTCGGTACGTAATAGTTTTCTAGACGGCAACTATTCAGTTAGCATTAGGGTTCACACAACATGCTGCTCTGTTTATTCTAACTATACATTTGTCAGAATGTGTATGTGTGAAATAGCTCACTGCTTTTGATCATTTTAGTGGTAGCAAGTCATTAGCAGCAGACGCAGTAAATCCACATGCTTAAATAACAGTGAATCAGCACTGAATGGGAAATCTGCCCAGCCCTGTGCCTGAATAGATAGGCTCATTTCACAACTCATGAAATGTCTTAGCACCCTGATTTATTGACAAGCACATCTCTTCCAGCTGGCTACAAGCCCCTGCACACTGTCTTAGTGAATTCAGATCAGTGTCCCCATAAAATTAGTGCTCAATAACTGTTTGTTGAATGAATGATTGGGTTACTTTTTGGAGCCACAAGAAATTCCAACTACCTCTTGGGAAAACCTCAAGTGAAATAAAAGTTCAGAGTGAATATGTGGGGCTAACATCACATTTATGATCATGAACTTGACTTTTCAGGCAAAGAGAGATCTGGGAGATTGATCACATTAGAAAGAGACAACTGTCCTTCCCTACCCCTAGGCGGGCAGGGTTATAAAAAGCAAAAACTGTTCACAGCTCCTTGGCACACATGTCCCGAGTTGGCGTCTGTGAGTGTGAAGATTATCCCGCTCAGTTCTTTGTTTTTTTTTTTTTTAATCAACCATTTTTCAATTAAGTACACTCATGTGGTGTAGCTATCACTGCAATTTACTGATCTATTGCCAAAGCTTTTCCATCCTTATTTCAAAATAAAATTTAATATCTTACATTTTAAAACATATAGTTTAGTAGTGGTAAGTACACATTGTTTGCAACCAATCTCTAGGACTCTTCTATCTTGGAAAAGTAAAACTCTTTGCCCATTACACTAACTCCTCATTCTTCAACCCCAAGTGTCTGTCTGAATTTGACGATTCTAGGTACCTTGTGTAAGTGGACTTGGACAGTATTTATCTTTTAGTGTCTATGTCACAGAGCATGACGTTTTTGAGATTTATCCATGTTGTGGATGGGACTTTCATGCCTTTTAAGGCTGAATAATATTCAATTGTAGGTACCATGTTTTGCTTCCTCATTCATCTATCGTTGAACACGTGGGCTATTTCTACCCTTCAACTCTGTCTTAGATAATTCTGAAGCTGACAATGTACAAAATATGACACATACACATCTGTGATATCTACACTACTCCTACCCCATCTAAGCCCCTTTATCCAAATTAGGTAACTATGAAAAAAAATGGCATTTTCAATATTCTTAAACATTGAGTCAACCTTAGAGAAGGAAGAATCTAGCTTGTGAAAGGTCCAGGGTCCAATCTCCAGGTGGTAAGAGAAGGGAGAATTGGTCTGAAAATTACTTCTTAAGATTATCCATTTGCTTACAAGTATAAATTTGGCATTCACACATAATTTGCAGGTATACTCGGGAGGATGGGGCTAATAATTCACAATCTTCCAAAGATACGAAGTGTGGGATGGCAGGAAAATCAGGAAAACAAAAATTTGCAGGTGTACTTGGGAGAATGGGGCTAATAATTCACAGTCTTCTAAAGATATGAAGTGTGGGATGGCAGGAAAATCAGGAAAACAATCATTTTTGTTTTGAGACAGGATCTCGGGTATCTCAGGCTGGCCTCAAACTATGTAGTTGAAGATGACCTTGAACTTCTTACCCCTCTCTGTCTACCTCCTGAGTGCTAGGATTACAGGCGTATGCCACCACGTTTGGTTTTATGCTCTGGGGATCAAACTCAGGACCTTATGCCTGCTAGCCAAGTACTCTAACAACTGAACTACATCCCTAGACCCAAGAACAAAGTAGTATTATTTCCTTAGAATTTTCCTACTTCCACAACCTCATTTTTGTTTTTGTTTTTGTGTGTGTGTGTGTGGGGGGGGTTAAGACTGAGTCTCTCTAACCCCAGCTTCCCTGGAATTCACAATGCAGACAAGGTCGGCCTCGATCCACCTGCCTCTGCCTCCTGAGTGCTGTGATTAAAGGCATACACACCATGTCCACCCAATCCCAACTCTGTTTTTGCCAACCTTAAAATCTACAAAACATAATCCTTCATGAAGAAACACAGTGGCATCTAATTTTTAAAGCTTTTTTATGTTTTTAAATTTATTTTTATTTTATGTGTGTGAGTGTTATTACACCTGCATGTGTGAGTGCACCCGTGTCGAGAAGTGCCCTCAGAGAAGAGGGCATCAGATTCGGTGGAACTGGAGTTATGGATGGTTGTTAGCTGCCATATCGGTGCTGGGACTTGAAAACAGCCAGTACTCTGAACCACTGACCCATCTCTCCATTCCCTAATTTTTTTAAGGTTTTTCCCCCAGATTTGTTGAGGAATAAATGGCATGCCTAATTTTAAAATTCATAAGTAATCAGTTACTTTGGAGCTATAACCGTAAAATTAGTATTTTATCTTCAAGACTGCCACATTTATGTAACTGTTCTTAATTTCTTGAAAATTTTTTCCTTGATTCAGTATTTTTAAAATAAAAATTTAACTATGATATAATGTTCGGTTGGAAACTGCACAAGTTAGTTTACCTCTCAAGGAATTTTCTCAAATGAACACAGCCACATGGTAAGCACAGACCTCTGAGATATCTTCCTTCTTCCCTGTTCCAGTCTCCACATCCTTTAAAGGTGACCGCTATCCTGACTTCCCATGGTCAGTTAGCTTTTCTGCTTCTGAGCTTTACAGAGACAGAATCACACCACACGTCTGCTTCCTTCCCTCACCATTATGTTTGCAAGACTCACCCATGTGGTTTAAAGTTGCAGTTACTTGTTTTCATTTAACTTGAAATGTTTGCTAGCCCATTGTTTGATTTACAGAATGTGTTTATTTCATTTTGTGTGCAAGGAGCTGATGGAGTTCAGCTGAAAGAACTGTGTACAGTCAATGCACTGCAGCAAGTGATGTGAATTGGAATTACAGGATCCTTGGGTTGGAAAGAACTTGTGACAGTATCCAGACAGCTCTCCAGTTTGGTACTCTGCTCTGGTCCCATCACATCTTCTTCATGGCTGACAGACGCCTCAAGTTATCCTGGTGCTCACCCGGCCTCCTCTTCCTGGCCCTTGGTGTAGAGCATCTGCTCCTTCCGCCCCCCGCCCTGCCTTCCTCCTCCTCCTCTGACCTGGAAAGGCCCAGGTGACAGTTCCTATTAGCCAGGCTTGGCCTGCCTGATGACAAAGGAGGGCAAGGAGCCCTTCCCTCCCACTTTATTCAGGAGATATATGGAAGTCAAGTGTCCCCAGCTCCACCACCCCAGCTGCCAGCTGAAACAAGTCGAGTCAACCTGTAAATTTATGAGCTGTTCCCCCTCCCCCTCCCCCTCCTCCCTCTCCTCCATCCTCTGGTCTGAGCCTGCCATCTGGTGGCAGTTTAAAGGATCCATGTACACATCACTATTGTCACCAGTTGCCCCTTAGCTGTGCAGACCAGGTGATTAATAGGTTTTAGAGCGATCAATCTCGTTTTCATACATAAGTGTCTTCCTTCTCAGAGCTATCAATATTGTTCTTAAAGAAAATATCTCTAAATCTTTCCCTCTTCTATTTAATGAACTTTAAAAAAAAGAGCCTGAAAAGTCACTCCCTACCCATCCTTAAAGTTCTAAGCATTCCAAAAGTCTCTGAAAAAAATTTTCCATCAAAAGAGCCATTTTCATCAGATTTCCTTACAACCAGCATTAAATATATATATAATATTATATGTAACTATAATGTACATTGGAACAAGCCTCTCTCTCCTCTCTCCTCTCTCTCTCTCTCTCTCTCTCTCTCTCTCTACTCCTCTCTCCTCTCTCTCTCTCTCTCTCTCTCTCTCTCTCTCTCTCTCTCTCTCTCTTTTACTCTGTAGGTTCTCACACTGAAGCCCAGTCAGCCTAGCCAAGGTTAACTCAAACTCATGGCAATTCTCCTGCCTCAGCCTCCCAAGTGCTAAGATTTTGAATGTGAACCACTACCTCTAGCAAGATTAGTTTGGTTTTGTTTGAGACACGGCCTCACTATGTAGCTCTGGTTGGCCTCAGACTCACTATGTAGATCAGGCTGGTCTCCTTTTCATATAGATCTGCCTTCCTCTGCCTCTGGAGTGCTGGGATTAAAGGTGTGCACCACTGCACCCTACAAGGATGTTTCTTCATTTGAAATGTATTTTCAGCCCCTGGTGGGCTACTTTCGCTTTTTCCTTTTTACAGTTTTCTGTCTCCAAGGTTTCAAAAGGAACGTGTATATAAATAGGAAACAAAATTAAGTGCTATTTTAGGAGGGGGGAGGGTTTTGTGGCAAATAAGATTTATACTTTTCTTCTGTATTATTTTTTATTTCTCTAAGTTTTCTAAAAGGATTGTGCTTTTAATATAAACGGAAGTACAGCAAGTATTTAGAATGTGGAAAATAAGGAGCCTTGTGATCATTAAAGCAGGAGGTGGGAGAGACACGCTGTTGGATGTGCACTCTTGGTAGCAGATCTTGGAGGCTCCTCTACAAGGCATCTGTGGTTCCAGGATGGCTCTCCCACAGCAGTGGGAGTCACTGCAGTCATGGGTGTGTTGTTGTTGTTTTAAAATATTTTATGTGTATGACTGTGTATTGCCTGCCTAGTGTACCCGTGTCTTGCATTGCCCACAGAGGTCAGAAGGCACCAGATCTCCTGGAACTGGAGTTACAGATGGTTGTTAGCCGCCATGTGGGTGCTTGGAACCAAACCAGATCCTCTGCAAGAGCGACCAGTGCTCTTAACTGCTGAACCATCTCTCTAGCCCCTGGTGTATTATTTTTGACTTTATGGTATTCTCATCTTCTTGACCAGCAGACATTCCTGAGGCAGGCAACTATACGGAAAGCGATTTACTTTGCTGAGAAGTTTATTGAGTTCCTCTTAGTGGCAAAAACCAGGCACCCAGTGGCAAAAAAAGATCATTTTCATGTCTTGAGACACATTATCTACCAGCTCAAGAGACTGCAACTATAGTTAAAATGGTACAATGTCAAGGTACAGGGATTGGCCAGGTTTGGCCTAAATTCTCTTTAGACCAGAATACAGTAATGGCCTCCCGTGGAGAGCTATGAGAATTAAACTGCTAAAAGGCTGTTGGCCAACTAGGAATCTGTTTGCTCATAAACATTTTCCTTTGAAAGAATGTATTCATTTATTCAGCAAGCATTTATTAAGTGTATAGCTATGTGCAAGGCATGGTTTAAGGTGTGAGTAGATACTGCCCTCCAGGTACTTGACTGAGAAGGGGAAACAGGGTATGTCTGCAAATAGCCATCATACAGATTATAGACTTAGTAAGTGGGGCTCACATAGTATGACTTTAACAGCATGAAATGGTTAAAAAGGTGTGTCTGCTTGCTCTTGAATGTGTAGGGAATCTGATACACAAAAACATTCAGAACAAAAGATGTTCTGCCATATTATAATTGCTTTTTAGTACCTATACTCAAATATTTTTTTAAGAAAATAATCCAAGTGTTACTGTAACAGTGATCTGACTATAACTTATTTAAAATGCCTCTGCTACATATTCTCACTGGTTTATGTCTTTTAAAAAGAAACATTTAGAGAGCTGGGGATGTAGGTCAGTTGTAGAACATTTGTTTAGCATGCAGTGATGGCCCTGGGTTCCATTCCCAGCACCAATAATAATAAATGACATTTAAAGGACTTTCGTTGTAATAGAGTAAAATGGAATTTTGTGTTTTTTACAAGCAAGTTGCCAAGTAGTGCTATGATGCTTTCTGCTCTGTCTTTACAATCTCAGGAAAAGCTGATAGACTCACTCAGCAGAAAAATCAATCAAGTATACAGAGCCTGCATTGGAGATGCTGAGGTTGGCAGCCTGAACGCCATTCAAAAGCTGGTGAAAGTCGAGTCTCGCTTGGTGGAATTGAGCGACCTCATTGAATCTATTCCCAAAGAAAATGTGGACGCAATTGAAAGGATAAAGCAGAAGGAGCGGCGGCAAAAGTACGGCCAGTCCTATCAGTGTAGAATGGCTTAATGGTTGCTGCTTTGGCTGAAATTCCACAGCTAGCCAATCCCACACAAGGCAAACTGCTGTGTGGGGATGAAGTAGAGGGGTCAGCCCATGCCTGCCCTCCCCATAGAGAGTATTTCATCAAATATTCCTAGGAAACAAATGTGTTGTTACTGTTGGTAATGAGCAGTGTCAAGGACAGGTGCTAAGTAAACAAAGAGTTCACCAGGGGAAACTGACCTAATTTGGGATGGATACAGAGGAGGGAGGGGAGGGGGGTCTCCGAGTGAACACAGTCATTACATGCACATTTTTGAAGAGCTATTATGTGGAGGAGCTACACTTGTGGTGAAGGTCCCAGACATCGAATTAGGAGCACTTCATTAGAAAACCATCGAAGACAACGTATGAATTGCTTGAAAGTCAGAGGCATACGAGTTTTCCTCAGAGCCATAACCAGCAATACTTTCCCAGCACTGACACACTGAGTCCCTTATTCCAGTGTGAGAATCACCATCCCTGAACCTCACCCCAGGCCTCACTGGAACCCTTCAGAACACACAGATTTCTATACCACATTAAGAACTTTTTATTTTTTTATTTTTTTGGTCTTAATGAGACAGGGTCTCCCTGTAGCCCCAGCTCACCTGGAACTATGTAGACCAAGCTGGCCTTGAACTCACAGAGATCCACCTGCCTCTGCCTCTGAGTGCTGGGACTAAAGGTGTGTGCCACCATGCCCTTAAGAACTTTTATATTCATCTTGTTGGGGGCAATGATTATTATTGATATGATTGCTAATATAATGTGGCATGTAGAGAATGCTAAGTGGGATAATGTTCATGTTATTGCACAAAAATATGTTAAGGGTAGATTAGTACTATGGTGACAGGTATAGGCATGGAGCCTGCCTGCGGCACAGCCTGTCCAATCTCTTTGTAATAAAAGCAGACATCATCTTTACCCCATAAGGCTCTATTTGTTTTTATTTTTGTGTAAGTGCATTGCCTGTATGTGTGTTAGTGCATTTGTGTCACGCAATGCCTGTGGAGGTCAGAAGAGAACATCGGATTACCCTGGAACTGGAGTTACGGACGCTTATTAGCTGCCACATGGGTAGTGGGGTCTTCTGTAAGAACAGCCGCTACTCTTAATTTGCTATAAGCCATTTCTTCAGCCCCCATAGGTTTCTTGTATTAACTAATCCATGTGAAAGCATGCTTGGCCCATATGAATCATTATTTACTTGATTACTGATGCACGGACAATATTATCTCTCATATAAAATGAAGTTCAGAGCTGGGCGTAGTGGCGCACGCCTTTAGTCCCAGCACATGGGAGGCAGGGGCAGGCAGATCTCTGTGAGTTCAAGGCCAGCCTGGTCTACATAGTGAGTTCCAGGTCAGCTAGGGCAGAGACAGAGAGACCCTGCCTCGAAAAGACAAAATAAAATGAAGTTCAGACTACATTAAGGTGACTGAGATGGCTCTGAGCATCAGGCAAACTTGAATCTAAGTGGAGGAATCCTTCCGCAAGATGACCTCGCTGGGGCAGATGAACAGCTCTGGCCTATTTTTTACAGTTGCAAATGTTATTTTCTTGAAAGTGCAATTATAGCTTATTTTCAAGAGTAACGCGTACATTGAGTTCGTTATTTTAGTCTTTTAGAGAATTTTCTCCATGGTTTGGCAGCACCTAATTTTCATTAAAATGGTTCAGTAAATGTTATTCCCATTCTCATGGAGGATAGAATTACAAAGGCTCCCAGAAGAGATATTACCTACTGAGTGCCAATTCTGCGCCAAGCCTTGTACTAAACAGTTTGCTTTCCTCACGAACCCCCGCCCCAAAGTTAAACAAATGACTTTTATTGTCCTAAATTGATGATGTCACTGAAAAATATCTGGAAAGCGGGTTTTGGTAATACATTAAGGTGAGTAAAGTGATGCATGTACTTTTCTGTGTTACTCTGAGAAATTTTGAAGTCAGGGAGGATTAGCCAGGAGTTCAAGTGGCCACTGTACCAGAAGTGGAGAGATGAGACTTGGCTCTGTTTTTGACCAAAGTCTGGGTAGTTACTTCTCCAAAATAGTGAAATGCAATCTCTTACCATTGCTGGAATATTCAAATGCTACTATCATGGAAATCTTACATTTGGAGAGTTCATTACTAAAATAATTGTAATACTATTGAACTGCTTTATGACTTATAGAATTTATACAAAAAAGTTCCTCTCCTTCTCTGACAGGTTGCGTGAAGAGAAACTTAGAGAAAAACAAAAACACCAGGAGGAAAGGCTGAAAGCCGCTCTGGAGAGGGCAGTAGCACAGCCAAAGAGAAAGGTTTGTTTTGCAATGAGCAGGTCTGCCCTGTGTCCCGGGAGCGCCTTGGTGGTGAGGACCAACCTTATTCAGGCTGAACTTTGCTGATAGAACCTTTCCAGCCCACAACACAACTGCCCTCTGGTTTCTTACTTTGAGTGACTCAGGTCACTAGGTCTCTAGTTCTCTAGCAGACCCACTTTTTAATTAAGTAGCCTCTTCTGTCTCTTTAAAGAAACCAGATTTCTAAAGTGGTTTTTTTTTTTGGTTTGGTTTGGTTTGGTTTGAGACAGTGCTAAAGTGTTAGTTTTTAAACTTAATACATATTCAAACTCGGCATGGTGGCACATACCTTTAATCCCAGCACTTGGGAGGCAGAGGCAAGTGGATCTCTGTGAGTTCGAGGCCAGCCTGGTCTACATAGCAAGTTCCAGGCAAGCTGAGGCTACCAAAAATAAAAAATAATAAAGTTAGTACATATTCAAAGTTCAGACAGAAAAGAGTATTCAGAGAAGTCCATTTTCCTGTTCCTTCCTGGAGGAAACCAGTTACATTTCTCTTGCATTCCTGTGAGGATATTCTATGTATTACTGCATACATTTTTTTCTTACAAATTTTAGCTATGAATCCTGTTTTGGAAACAGTGAACTTAGGTAATTACATGTAACTCAAAGGGATTTCTAGCTCCTCCATGGATAATGGGTTAGTACAAGTTAAGATGATCTGCCTAGTCACTGATTTAACAGCAGCAGTAGAAGCAGAAGCCAGGGTTCTTTGTATTACAAGATTATATCCCATCAGGTTGGGGTTGCGGTTGGCAGCTACTGCCAATTTTCACATGGGTAAAGCCTTTGTTTCTATGTCACTCTGTTCCCTCTGAGAGACTAAAATATATTCCAGGAAGATAAAGTCATGATTATCTGCAAAGCTATGTGGACACTGATTCTTACTATAGTACTAATATAGTATAGTATATAACCAGTCCTCTGAGGTACAACTTGAAAAGTTCTGATGGATCATAGCTGTTATTGTATATTATCAGAAAGTGATACCTTACTACATACCTTATATTGGAAAGATTTACTTCAGTTTTAGCTGTGAATTGTCTTCACCTGTCATGTCCCAAAAGAATTCTGCACTTATCACTTTACATGTCCATCTTACCATCAATCAGTAAACACACCAGACTGAAATTTTCCTTATTTGTAGTACTGGTGATTGAACCCAGAGCCTTTTTTTCAGTGTATCCATCTTTCCTTCTAGACAGTTTCTATGGTCTTTAACCAATGCCTGCCATGGTAAATACCCATATATAAAACAGTGATCTTGTAGGTCAACAAATGAAGACCCTGATCGTTTACTCACAACACTTCATCACTGGAAATTTCTCAAATGGTATTAATAAAGGTTACCAAAGATCACTGAATTTAAAAAAAAAAAAAAAAAAAAACCACTCTGACATTAGAAAAGGAATTCAGGGCTTCCAATTCCCCAAGGATATTTCTGTTGTTAATAATGATGGGGGAAAAGTGCTACTGAGTTTAGTTTCCTAGGACCAGATGTGCCAAGCATTCTGCAATGGAGGGAAGAGTCTTACACTGGGGCTGTTTAGCCTACCAGGCCAGCAGTGCCCTCTGAGTCATAGTGGAGATTCCAATCTCAGGTTAAACTTTCCTCATCCATACATTTAACTCACAAAGAGTCACCTATAAGAGGAAAACAAAAAGCAAAGGAGGAGAAGATCTTAAGTAATATACTTGAGAATACCTCTAGAGGATGAAGAGGTGTGACAGGTTTCCTGACACCCCTCCTGACGTAAACAACTTCCAAAAACCAAGTGATGTTGGTGTTTAAGAAGATAATGTAAGGTTTTCTGAAGTTTCTGTTCAACAAAACTTCTAGATGCCAGGCAAGAAAGCAATCTCTTCTAACCATGCAGGAAAACCTGGCTGTGGCACTTAACGAGAAATTAAATGTTAGCTTCCAAGAAGGTACTTTCTAGGCGGGCTGTATCTGAGCCAGGTGCTCCTTCATGACTGCACAGAACTCCCTATTTAGCCATAAAATCTAATCACTGTCTTCTGCATACAATGGGTGCTCAAGTTGCCCAACATCTTGGACATCTATTAGGTTATCAGGCCCCTTGTAACTGTATTACTTTAAACCATTTTATTCATGTTAAAAAAATCCAGTTGATACTGGTATTACATATATATATATATATAAATAGAAATTGGTTATGCTAAAAAACATTTTGTTTTTCCTGTTTCAGGTGGGAAGACGACTCATCTACCGGTCGAAACCTTCATCTAACAAACAGCAGCTACTTCCAGCTAGTGATACAAGAACAAAATCGCAGGAGGAAGAATATTTTTTCAGTTGAATGGGAGCATTAAGACACTTTATTGTCACGTTTTATGCAGATTTTCACTCTAAGTAATGGCAGCACTCTGTCCTAATGAATTCAAGAAAGGCAGGCCCTTATTCCGGAGTTTATAGGACTGGGAGTGACATTTTCTTTCATTGAAACTTTGCATTACTAATATTATTCCACATAGTTAAGCAATATTGTATTTTGAGTTGTCCCAGCTGAAGATACAGATTCAAAGTCATAATGGTTGTTGACATAACTATATGGAGAATGATCATTAAGTAAAATAATGGGCTCTCTCAAAACAAGAGAATTTAAATGGTATTTTCTGAACCGATCTATAAGGAAGTTCATTGCTATGGAATATACATTTTAACAATGCACAATTCTTAAAACATTTAGACAGGGTTAAAATGTGAAAACTAGTAACTCAGAACAATTATGAGACTGGTTTTTATTTCACATTAAGCTCTTAAAATTTTATTAAGTGAACCAACAAACCACATGGCTTTAGCCTAAATATCAGTTCATAATTTAGAATGTGCCTTATCTCCACAACCATTTCAATTTTCATATTTTGACTTAGCTACAGTAAGTATATTACTTAGCCTATATTGATACTGAAATAACATAATTTATTAATACAGTATAGATTTACTAAGAAAATGTTTAACTTTATACATGTTAAAAGTGACTCAAGAAACCTTAGAAAACAGAGTTGCTTTTAAAAGGTCTCAGTTAATATACTTCCAAGAAAAGGCCTAAAATTTGCCTTCAGAAAAATTCTAAAGCATATAATTATCCTTTATGGAAGGAGAAAAAAAACCCAGTACTGGGCACAGAAAGATTTCTTTTTTTACTGGGCAAAAAATTTTTTTATACGGAACAGAAGAGAACCATCTGAAATTACACTGGGTGGCCTTAGAGCCTTAATTCTGTGAATTATCTATCCACTGTTTAAGCACTTGAGCTCTGTACAGAAACAGGTCACAAGTCAAGTTGAAAAAAAATTTTATTGTGTAGAAATACATATACATTAAAAAAAAAAAATCCCCCAACAAAACATGCTATTCTCTCATTTCCCCATCCTCCTCCTCTTCTTCAACACCTCTGATATAAAGGACATTATTACACCTGTAAAAAGAAAAACAGACCACTGTGACATTTCATCAGAAATCATGCATGATCTGAATTCTCATCCTCCATTCTTTTCACTAGGAAATACTAAACTTAAACCTATCATTCTTTGTCTAGTAGTTTTACACATTCTGTTTAAAGGCACATGGCCCTCAGTTTGGACGGTTGCTATTAGTGGACAAAGCATGTAACAGAACCCTCAGCAGCCAGGCTCAGCTGAAACGCAGAACTAAGCTACAACAGCAAAAAAGGTTAGAGCTAAGAGCCAGAAATAGAGTATTGACATTAGGAAAACCTTAAATGAAATCTTCTCTTTGACCAATTTAGCAATTTCAAAGACTTCTCAAGTCCAGTTGTATTGTCACATTAAGTGATTTTTAAGAGTAATTCCAAAACTAAAGCACTTATTTACTTAAGTAGGTATTTCTAATGTTCACCCATAACTTTTAACATACACTAATGCTGTTTGTTACCTTATTAAAACTTCACCTAGATGTCCAGACAATGCCCCATCTATGTATTCTTCTGTATTTGCAAGCTTTAGATAAAAAGAAAGATATTAGTATAACAGTACAGGAGAAAAACAATGTAAAACATATTCCTGGTGAGAGAACTTATTAACTGAGACCTGTCTACACCAACTCAAAACTTATCTGTAATTACTAATTAGAAGATTAGCTTTCTATTACTACTGTAGCTCCTTTTGATTTCATATATTCAGTAAAACATCCATGGACACAAAACTAATAATAAACCTTGTTTGAAAAGTTGTTAAATCTTCAACTATGTAATCCTTCTTTCTAGCCACCATGTAGGTCTAGCCACCATGTGGGTCCTGGGAATCGAACCTAGGTCCTCTGCAAGAGCAGCCAAACTTTTAACAGCTGAGCCATCTCTTCAGCCCCTATTTCTAATTTTAAATTGTCTAGCATTCCTTTTGTAATTTAAAAAAATCAGCACCAGTACGATCTGGGGTTGCTAAAGGCATGAACAGGAGAAAAAAGAGGGAAGTTTCTTTCCTAAACAGGCAGGTAGACAAGGGAAAGAAAAATAAGTAGATGTATCATATGGCATTTAAAGAATGCTAGGTGTTACTCTTTCTGGTAGAAAACAAAAAGCAGCCAGAAAACATGGTGTCATCAGAGATGTGTGTTTCTGAGACTACTCATTCATGTGACAGCTATCAGAAATAATGTATTAAGAACAACTAATTTTTAAGTCATGATTTTTGACCTATCCTCCAATATTTACCTCGCTTCAAAATTGCAGTGTTCCAAAGCTTCCTAACGTCCATTAATTCAAAGCCCTGGCTATTGCTTAAAAGGCTCCATGGCTACCAATCCAACCCCACTCACTCTATCCTGTCCTTCGTGCTGTGCCTTGAACACACCAAGCACTCCCGTTTACAGAAGCTTTGCATTTGCTGTTCCTGTCAACTGAGATGCTCTTTCCCCAGATACTCACATTGCTAATTCTGGTCTCACCTCAAGTTTACTTCCCCAGAAAGTAACACTGCACTCTGTCACCTTGGTTTTGCTTTCTTTATCTTCAAGCTATTATACCTAATCTAATTATGTGACACTGTCAACTCCCACCACTGAAGCATACTCTTGAAAACAGGACTTTGTTTTGTTAACAGTTATTATATTTACAATGCCAAATAAACTGACAAGCAAATTTTTGCTAAGTGAACTAACTAAAAAACTGGGCCCATCCAGAAATACATTTGGTAGTTCTAGGAAGCTACATTAATTAGAAAATATTAGGTGGATTTGTTTTGGGGGGGGGAACGATATGGTATCTTGTACCGCAAGCTGGTCTCCAACCTGCTATGTAGCTGAGGATGACCTTTAACTTTCTGATCCTCCTGTATCTACCAATTGATTGCTGAAATTACAGGCTTTTATCACCCAGCCTGGCTTACGTGGTGCTGGGGATAGAACTCAGGGCTTATCCATGCCAGGTAAGTACTCTAACAACTGAGCTACATCTCTAGCCCTATTGTTTTTATTTGTTTACTTATTTTTACTGTAATTTCCATTGTAAAAATCTATTTTAAAATCATATAGACCTGGCCAGGCATGGTGGCACACACCTTTAATCCAGCACTTCGAAGGCAGAGGCAGGCGGATCTCTGAGTTCGAGGTTAGGTTGGTCTATATAGTGAGTTCCAGGCCAGCTGGGGCTACAGGGAGACCCTGTCTCAAAAAAGACAAACAAAACAACAACAAAATCATATACTCCTGTGGTCTTAAGCATAATCCTAAAATTGTGCAACTTTTATCACTAATTCCAGAACATTTTCAGCACAATGGATGTACTTTTTAGATTTTTCTAGTCTTCAAAAGAACAATTGTTTCAAGAATTTCCCAGTATTTCCATTAGCACTTTGCTTACAAGCATGAAATCCTTGATTCTTGGTTGAGCTGTCAACCTAAGTAACCTTTAAAATATGAGCAAAAACTACAATTAAACCACCATCAACAAGCAAATACCCCAATTTAGCACAAGACTCGCGTAAGCTCAAGTCAGACAAACCCTGCATGGAAGTGGGGAGGTGGGTAGGCAGCCCCAGTCCTAGCTGAGGAACTACTACTGGCAGGCAACCAACGGCTGCTAAGCTAGGGAGAGTCAGTTTGCTTTGTAAGTGTTGACCAGGCCTCCAGTGGATGGACACACATCAAGGGTCATTTGGGGACACAGGTTTGACTTGTTAGGCTATTATATAAACAGAGCACATGAAATTGGACAGGGGGTATTAGGGGGTGCAGGTAGGGGAGGGGGTCTAAATATGATCCAAATATATTATATGAAAACCAAAAAATTCAATAAAAATTTAAAAGTTTATTAAAATATAAATTAAAATGCATGAATCAAAAAGAACCACCCAATTAAAAAATATGCAAAGAGTGTAAATACACATTCTTCCAAAGAAAATAAACACGTGGCTAATAATTAACATATGAAAAGGTGCTCGACATCATTAGGGAAATGCAAATCAAAATGAGGTACCATTTCAGATCCAAGAGAACAGCTATTTTTACTTTATGTGTGTATGAGTGTATTGCCTGCATGTGCCTAAGTACACCTGTGTCAGGCAATGCCCTCAGAGGTGGTAAGAGAGCACTGGATTCTCCTGGAACTGGGGTTATAGACAGTTGTTAGCCTCGATGTTGAGTGCTGGGTTCTCTGCAAGAACAGCCAGTGCTCTTAACCGCTGAGCCATCTCTCCAGTCCTGAGAATAGCTATTTTATATGGAAGAACAATGTGGGTAAACTGGAACTTTTGTGCAATACTGGAAGGAATGTAAAACCATGTAGCTACTGTATAAAACACTATGACAACTACTCAAAAAATCTGAAAACAGAAAGACCAATGGACCGGTAACTCCACTATATGCATACTAAAAAGAGCTAAAAGCAGAGACTTGAAAAGATATTTGACTTCTCATGTTTGTAATAATATTCACAACAGCCAAAACGTAAGCAAACCAAGTGTCTATCAAGACATGAACAGGTTGAGGATGTAGCTCAGTGGCAGAATGCTTGCCTACAAGTCCTGGGTTTGATCTGAAGAAAAAACTGAATGGGGCTGGAGAGATGGTTCAGTGGTTAAGAACACTTGCTGTTCTTCCAGAAGACCTGGGTTCAATTCCCAGTACCTACATGGCAGCTAACAACTGTTCCAGGGGATTCGATATGCTCTTCTGGCCTCTGCCGGTTTTTCATGAGACGGATGCACTTACATACACGCAGGCAATTCAATACACTCATACACATAAAATAAAAATATATATAAAAAAGAAAAAACTGAACAGATGAAAATGTGATTTATCCATACAATGGAATATTATTTAGTCCTAAGGAACTATTAAGTTCTCACACACTTTACTAATGACTCCTCAATACAGTATATCAACTCAGACAAGCTGGACAAAAAGGATAAAACATTTGACCCAAGGTATCCATGGGAGATTGGATCTAGGACCCTCTCACAGATCCAAGGATGTTCAAGCTCTTTATTCCAAACAGTGTAGTATTTGCAAATAACCTATCAATATCTTCCATATATTTTAATCTCTAAATTACTCATAATACCTAATACAGTATAAATTCCCCTAAGTACTTTCTATCAGAAGTTAGCGGGATCCGAAAACGTGGAACCCAAAGGTATACAAGGCTGTCTGTATATCCTATTTATGTGAGGTACTTAGAATAAACAAACTCGGAGACAGTGCTTACCAGGGACTGGATGGCAGTGGGGAGCAGAAAATGGGGAGCTGGTTTTGGTTTTTTGAAATAGTCTCCCTATAGGCCCAGCTAGCCTAAAATTCACTACGTAGACCAGATTGGCCTGCATCTCAGAGTGATCCACCTGCCCCGACACCTGGCTGGAAGTTGTGTTTTTAATGTTTTAATCCACTTTTGGATTCTGGAAAAGTTCTGGAAATGGTAATGCTGATGCAAAGCAATTTGATTGTACTTAATGCCACTGAATTATAGACCTGAAAATGCCCAAAGGGGCAACTTTTTAGTACATACTTTGCTACAATAAAAAGGTAATTACAAAGAAAAAAAAACTTGGCTGAATCATGTCTGCAGAAACTTACATAGTCAGTTCATCAATTCCTTTGTCTCATCTATCTTCCCCATGAAGACATACTTTTACTGAATTACTTTCGTGCTGTGTCTTCAGAATTCATTAAAACAATTTATGATTTTCACTTGAAAAATTTCTCAAAGAACTGAGTGTTAAGAAGTTGTGTTTTCTGTAAAAATGAGTTTCTCTCTTATGGTATTATAAATCAAATGTCAAGTTCTTCTTTCTTTAACCACCAAGAATAAAATCCATGTCTGAACTCTGATTTAACCCCATGTCTTATAACCCCCAAATACATCACAGTTTTAGCATCCTCCCTGAAGTATGCTTCAATCCAAAATTCTGCTTTCTGTTTGTCAGTTTAATTGCATGTATTCTTATTAGTCAGAGTAAACCTTTGAGGTGAAGCAAAATCAATATACTTTATGACCTCTATGACTTTCTGACTTACCTGCATGTTCATGTAGCCGTCTACAGACACCAGGTAGCCCTTGTACTCCATACCCCACTTTAGTTTCACCATCACTGGCTTTCCTGTCAGTCCATTGAGAAAAGGTTTGGGATTGAGGGGTAAACTCTGTACAAAAAAAAAAATAAAACAAAAATATTCAGTAAGTTTGCTCTAAGCTTCTACCACCACTCTCTGCCAAAGTAGCAAGCCAGACTTTATGGCATCCAGATGAGGCGAACTCTGCACTGCCATTTCACTACACAATTTGCTGAAGAGCATAAGGGAAAACTAAAAATTCGTTTAGCAGTTTCATCTTTAACTCACTGAAACAAAAGTACTCACTAGCACTTAGTGTTAACTACCAGACTGGGGTGTAGCACAGTGGCAGAGCCCTGGCCAAATATGCGTGAGGCCACTGGTTCAATTCTCAGTATTACAAAAATAAAAACAAAAGCACTCTGAATACCTATGTATGAATATGTCTGAATATGTGGTGCACATATTCTCAGACTCATACACATACATTTTTGTTTTGTTTTGTTTTTCTTTTCTTTTTTTTTTGTTTTTTTTGTTTTTTTTTTGAGACAGGGTCTACCTGTAGCCTCAGATATCCTGGAACTCATGATGTAGACCAGGCTCACAGAGAACTCACAGAGATCCGCCTGCCTCTGCCTCTTAATCCAAGCACTGGGATCAAAGATGTGCACCACCACGCCCAGCTTTTAAAAGTCGTTTTTTTAAAAAAGTACAGGTATTTAGGTGATCTCTGGAGACTTAATAACTGTGTTCTGTCAGTGACAGTCCCAAAACAGGCTAGAGAAGGATGCAGAGGGCAGACACCATTTGGCTTTGTACTGGGAAGTGGGCTAGGTCTTATTTGACGTTATAATACGAGCAGTACTTTCTTAATACAATCATCTAAAGTTCATTCTTCAAAACAGTATTATTCCCTATAAATTCAGACTTTTCCTCATCTACTCATCCGTCATTCCAAAGAAAATGATCAAGAAACTTGACTACTAAACCCCTCTAAGATCAGCAGTGATCTTGGAGGACTGGGGACTACTACAATAACTTAACAAGTCTCCAAATTCCACCATCAGTCATTTATTATCAGATAATCTCAAACCATGTAATATTTCTGTTTAATATGTCAATCGCACCTTTTAGATCTGTAAGTATGTTGTGTTGAAGCAGCAAGCACAGTTAGTGCTACATTTGGGATATTTAGTTTTCTCGAGTTGAACACCATTTGGTATATTCATTTATACCATCTAATATATGACACGACGTTGTAGTATGTATAAAATTTTGTGGTCTTTAGTTCCCTTTGTATTCATTTTAAGCATCTAAATAAATTGCTGTGTTGTGCTTTAAAAAAAGTGTCAATCTTCTCCAATTGCACCTGAAGTAGAATCAAACTTCTAACAGGGCATGTGAGAGGAAGTAGCCCTATTCTATCACAAGGGCAGCTGTAAATTTGTGTCAATTCCAAGTAGTCTAACTTACCTTCCAGTTAGGGCTTAGGGTGCTGTTGCCTATGCTAGAAACATTCTTCCTCCTGCTTTTTCTATCACTTTGGTTTTACGTTAAATGCCACCTCCTAGAGAGGCCACCCCTCAACCCTCTAATCGTACCAATGCACCTCTCAGCATCCTGTCAGCTTCCTTCTTAGCAGTTACCATCCTCTGCAATGGTTTACTGCTGTTATTATTTGACTGATATCTACCTCCCACACTAGAGAAGCAATGCACGGTCTGAATTAGTACTTTGCACCCCATAAGCTTAGAGCTTAAGAACAGTACCTGGCAGGTAGGCGGGTAGCGTGCTTGACTTACTAATGAATGAAAGGGTAGCCTGTAGCCTGGGCTTTCTGTTCCAGAGGACTGGGCTAGGATTGTCAATATCAAGGCATGAGAAGCGCCTTTGGGAGCGTTGTTGAACAGACAACGAAAACTCGCTTCAGTTTTACCCCTACCCTGTGCCGCAAACACGGGAGCCTCAGGCTGAGGTTCAAGCAGAGGGGAAGACGGGAGGAAGAGCACCCGGGGAGCGCGCCTAGAGCCCACGGGCGGGAGAAGGGGCGGCCGGCGCTGCAGCCGAACGAGGAGGCGTGGAAGGTGCAGCAGGCAGCAGGCCTCGAGAGGCCGCCCACCTCTCGTCCGCAGTGCGCGTCCTCCTTACCATCGCGAACACGCGCGAACGCCGCAGGCCACTCGCCGCCGACTCCGCTGCCGCGTGTCCCTCGTGGCTGGAGCCTCAAGCCGGGGCAGACGAGCCAAGAGAAATGGCCGCCAAAAGGCGGTATCACCTTTGGCCTCCGACCTCGCTCTCTCGGCTTTTGTGATTGGACACAAAGAGGTGCGCGCTGATTGGAGAAGATGGCGGACGGTGTCTCCTGGCAACCAGCCGCCAGCCGCGGGCTTGTGCCCAGCTTCTGTGCTTCTTTAGACAAACTGAGCGAGCGTAGCGGCGTGGACTCGCGGAGGAAACGCCGACTTCTGCTTGACTTTCCTGCTGGGAGGCGACGGCCGCGAGGTGCACCCTGGAGAACGGACGGGGCATCCGTCTGAAGTCAAGGTGTCATTCAGAATCCCATTTATTTTTCCCCGTGATCTCAGTGCTTCAGATATCGATTCACTCGTGATATAAAATCTGTGTAAAATGGTACTTTTTTCCTTTATGGCGAGGCTAACTCTTATATGAATCTGAAAAGTACACAGATTCCTCCAAGAAAATCAAGATTTGAAATTGGCCTACATCTAAAGAATGTCATTTATATTATTTAAGTATGCCACCTATCTCAGAGATACATTTTGATTAGATACAACTTTACTACAGCTTTTTCCGCGGTTGCTGGACCTGGCATTCAAATATACTCAAATTACTAAGTCGGCATTGACAAATCCATGAATTTTAAACTTAGAACCCTGGAGATCCCTACTCTGACTTCTAACTTGATTTCGTAGGTAATAAAACACCGCGAATTAGATAAACTCAGAACAGATCATTTAAGTATTTTTCTCATATATCAAGCTATATGCTTTATTCCGAAAAGAACTTGAAGTCATATTTGTAAGAGAAATAAGTAATGAGAATAAAAGATGGGCTGCAGATTTGTGCCCAAGCTTTATGGGGGACGTTACAAAATTCAGGGGGGAAAAAAGATACTCATTATAAGATTCAAATTTTCTACCATACTTTTACAAATCCAATCATCCAGGAAACATAGTGATTGTTTCCATTTCTCTGACTTGAAAGAAATTCCTCTTCCAGTACCTGGGTCCCGGTATCTCTATAAATCGGACCCTAGGGAAAAATTTAAATGAGAATGCTTTATTGGCCAATGTGATCCCAGGGCTCTGAGAGTAAGGGGGCAGAAAGATAAGGCCAGGGAGAGGCAGCAGATGCTGGGGTTTACATATTTTAGCTTGTCACTGTTTCTTCACAGAGCCAAGACCAGTTGCTTGACCATGTGGGACAGTCTCTGGATGGGCTTTGTGTAAATATGCATTGGAGAGCATCAGTGAGGCTAGAGAGATTTGTCTGTGGGTCCCCTTTTGGCTCCTAGAGCCCAATGGAGAGTTCCTGACTCCATTCCAAGGTAGAATTGGGAAAATCAGATCTCAGGTCTTATAGTTGTCTTTTAACTGGCAGTGTGACTGTGGCAGAAGGAACCTCAGGTGTCAGTTTCAGGTGGAGGAACTTGAGACCACAGTGTATAGCCAGGCACTGCCGAGCAGCCATAGTAGGCAAGACCTAGGAGACAGATGAAGCTGAGAAACTGAATTGAAACATAAAATGTATTTATATGCATAGGTTTGAGAAAAAGCAGTATGTTATATTTAATAGGAACATGACTGTTGTATTACCTTTGCACCACTGTGACAAAATACCTTAAAAAGCATAGGAGAGGTTTATTTTGCCTCACAATTTCAGGAATTTTGTCCACAGCTGGCTTGTTCCATTGCTTTAGTCCTGCAGTAAGGCAGAACATCTTGGAGCCAAGAGTGTATGGTAGAAAAGGGACTCCATACTGGGCTGCCTCCTAATAGCACATTTAGCTATGAAGTCATCAGTGGATAATCCATTGACAAGGTTAGCACCCTCATAATCCAATCACCTCTCAGTACAGTACCAGCTAGGGAGCCACACCTTCAATATATGGAGTCTTTGGGTGAATACTTCACTTCCAAACTGTAACAGTTGTTTTATATGAATGCTAGAGTTAGCGCAAGGCTCTTCCTTTCTCTTTCCTGAATAATTTGGAGCATAGTGGTCCTAAAACCATTGAAAGAGCCAAGTAGGCATCCATGTTGAGGAATAGGGATGGTCACAGCAGCCCAGTAGGACAAGGAGGGCATCCCTATGAGATGACATTCCAATTTGGGGTTCCAGAGTCGAGGAGGAGGAAGATGTCACATGGGTGGGTGATGCAATGTGGGAGGCTGGTGCTTGAGGAAGTGTGTTGGTGGCCATTCAGGTCAAGGGGCAATCAGCACCATGCAATTATGACCCTAATAAGGTAAAGCATCCCCCAGAGGGGGCCACGGACTGTTGGACCCTGAGTAAGGTAAAAAGGGCATCCAAAGGTGAAGAGGATGACCCTTTGCGTGGTGTCAGATCCGATGCCCATGAAAAAGGAAACCTGGCACCTGGGGTCACCGAGCTTCAGAAATGGATTGGAATGAGAAAGGCATGTTGTAGAGGGGACAGCAGCAAGATGGAAGTTTTCCTTTTTTTTTTTTAACAGGAACATTAATCACAGAAATTACCATATTAAAGATAATTGGAACCAACCCTTCTCAGTACCAGAGAAGGGTTTGCTAGTATGGAAGGGAACAAGACTAAGAAAAGAAAAAAGAACACAACAGAAGATACTGGAGTTAGCAGGTGTAGGAAAATTATGCAGCTGTGTATATGCACGTTGGTACTAATTGGAGCCATCCCTGTGTAAGGTGGCAGCTTATTATGGTCTTGACTTGCATTTCCCTAATAACTAATGCTGTTGAGTATGTTTTCCTCTGTGTGTTGGCCATTGGTACTGTAGTTTCTTAGAAGAAACTCAAGTCTTGCATACTTTTTAAATATGTTTTAATTTTGGAACCCCTGAAGATAGTGCCTAATAAAACTAAAAAATATATATTAAAAGTCATTTCACTGCTCATGATCTCATTTCCTTCATTTACATGGTGAAAGGTTTAGTGTAAAAATGATTTTTACAGTATGAACATACTCAGACAAATGACTTTTACTTACCTTTGCAACCAAAAATTGAATCTTAGCTTGCCAATAATGTAAAGAAGCTCACCAAGACACCTGCTTTTCTTGTGACCCAAGCATATGACCTTAATCCCTTCTGACCTTTCCTTGCCCTCTATCCAAGGTAGCGCATGAATACGAATACGTGTGTCTGTGCTTTTCTCTTTTGGAGCTAAGTATCCCAATAGGGGTACAAACAATAGGTGGGATCAAATTGATAATGTATGATTGTAATTGGGTATGCTTTTCTAAATCAGTAGGGCTCAGAAAGGAGAAACCTCTTCCCTGATCAGACAGCTCTGCTTTTACATCCCCATTTCATGCTGAATATACTGTTTCAATGAATCAAAGAGCAGGCCCTTGTTCAAGAGCACCATTTTGAGAGAATTCTGAAGGAAAAGGTTCTCAGCAGTTCAGGTCCGCTCTTGCCCTTAAAATGGATGCGAGGAGTCAGGTTGTTTTTATTAAGGCATAATCATAATGTGGCTTAGCTGCAGTTTAGACTAAGACGGGGTTTTTAGCCTCATTGCTATTGACATGTTGGGCCAGATATATTTTATTTATTTATTTATTTATTTATTGAAGAATTTTTTTAAATTTTCTTAAATTATTTATTTATTTATTTATTTATTTATTTATTTATTTATTTATTTATTTATTATTTGCAGTGTGTGTGTAGTGTGTACACTTAAACACATGTTGAGGCCAAAGGAGAATGTCAGGTGCCCTGCTCTATCACTCTCCCCCTGTTCCTTTGAGACAGGGTCTCTTACTGACAGTGGATTGAGGCTAGTGGCCAGCAAGTCCCAGTGATTCTCCTGTCTCCACAGCCCTGGGGTTACTGGCACACTTAACCACCCACATAAGGCTTGTTATGTGAATGCTAGGGATTTGTCATAACCATCTTCCCAACCCTTCCCAAATAATGCTTACTATGGCAGTTGCCTTGTGCATTGTAACATAGCTAACGGCATCCCTGACCTCTAGTAGTAGATTCAACTTCTTTCCCCCTTAATTGAAAATTGAAATTTTTAGGTATTTTGGGATTCACTTGTCCTAGTTGAGAACCACTGGAGAACCTCTGGAGATCAGTGGTTTATAAACAAAGACCCCAGGCAGCACTCTGCTGATGATATTGAGGCTTTGAAGCTGGCAAGTTGTTCATTTACTTTAATAGAGTCTACTAAACTCCTGGTGCTTCTTTGCTTTTTATTAGAATGAAGTCTACTCAAAACGTAAATACTGGTTGATTCCCATGGATCTGACCAGAAGCTTTGATTAGCATTTATCTGATTTATAAAAATGGGAGAACAAATTATCAATAAATTTATTTTATTTTATAAGTTATAGATTAGTTTGAGAGAGGGTAGCTAATAGCGTTTGGGGGTTAAAAGATTGCGAACCACGCAGCTAAGGTGGCCATCATTTAAATGTTGACTTCGAACTCTGTTGGGTTCCACAAGGTGGCAGTGATGAGTTTTTAGTGAAATTCAAGCTGCCGCTTAGGTACTGGGATGTTAATCCATATCACTGAGAACTTCCCTGTTCTTGAAACACAACATAATGTAACATAAAACCCTGTGGAATTTCTCCCAATCCCTGTACCACACAGTCTCCCAGTCTCTCTCATCTCTTACATCACTGAATCCAGTGGATTTTTTCTTTTGTTCTGTGTTATTTGCTTATTTGTTTGTTTTATTTGTTTATTTATTTATGTGAGTTTCCCTAAAGCCTCAGCTTGCCTGGAGTTTGTTATATAGACCAGGTTGGCCTCAATTTCACACCTGCCTCTGCCTCCCAAGTGCTGGGATTAAAGGTATGCAGCACCATGCCTGGTTTGAATCCAGCCCTTTTTTTAAAAAAAAAAATCTAGTTTTGTTTGTTTGTTTTTTCAATGAAGCCTTTTATTCTATGTGCTGATTTGTCACCTTGTTTAAGGTATCTTCCACCTCCCGCTTGCAAAACAGAATGAGGATCTGGAACTTGGGTGCTTGCCAACTTTGGTGGGCCTCCATTACCAGCAGCCTGAACCCAGCTCCTTCAAGTCTTTCATTCCACCCC